GGAATGGCAAGGGACACACTGACAAAGGAGATTAATCAGAACTGGCTTTGACAAGCACTGTGGCAATTGGACAATTAAAACAGACATGGGGGGGGAAGAAAAACAAACTAGGGAGGAGGGTGGAGAAAACAGTGCAACAATGAATGAATGGAAACCCAAAATCTCTGTAAATGTTCATTAAAAACTAATAAAATTTAATAATAAAAAAAAAGAAAAAAAAGTGTTCAAAGGCAGTGATGTCATCGTGAAGGCTGACAGTGCACTTGACTCCAGCTATGATATTTCCAGTCACTCCATATGCACCTGAAAGCTGAATCCCACCTTTTGACTTCTTGGCTGTTGCTCCCTTGAGTGATGACTTGGGTTCCAGGTAAAATGAAATCACTGAGCACTTCCATCACTTCTCCGTTTATCATAATGGGGCTTATTGGTCCAGCTGTGAGGATGAGGGAATTGATAGTGTGATCTTCTCCATCGCTAAAAGCTTCCGTCCTCTTCACTGCCAGCAAGTAGGACTGCAATTGGCGTGTGGCAGGTGACTAATGAATCTAATTGCTAATGCAGGTTGCTGCATGCTTCTTTGCCCAGCCCAGCTTCTGACATTATTTGCTCATCATACAGATTGAGTATCTATAGTGAAAGAAAGGATGCAACCGTGGCACACACCTTTCCTGATGCTAAACCATGTCTGTGTAGACGTGAAGCCGTTTGGTGTTCATAGTAATAATTCAGGATTGGTACTTGTGCACACAGCCAGCGAAGAGCCTCACTGGAACATGGGAGACAGGAGAAGCCAGGACCCTGCATGGGCCTGGAGCTCTGCGGCCTCACATCCCTCCTCCTTGGACAGGAGCAAGCGCAAATATAGGGCCTGGGGCTGGCCTCCCAATACAGGCAGGTCTTCGAGGTAAAAAACCAAACAAACAAAAAAAGATTTGTACTTTTCTCATTCCCACGTTAGAGGGGAAAGCTGTGCCTGAGATATATAGGTCTATTATCCAGCCAAGGCCCCCTGACTAGGAAGTGGTGGAGCCAGGCTTGTATCAAGCCTCTGTTGCTCTTACTGTGATACCTCAGGGTGGAATGAATGACTCTATCAACAGGTATAAGACTAGTGATGTTCTCTTTTCTTGCAGGAGTGACTGGGTGACCTCCTATAAGGTCCTGGTGAGCAATGACAGTCATACGTGGGTCACTGTTAAGAATGGATCGGGAGACATGGTGAGTCCCTGCCTCCCTCCCTCTGCCCATGTATGTGCGGTGCTGGCTGGGTGGGGCTCTGCAAAGAGAAGAAATGCTGCAACGTTGGCATTCTGGACCTTCCCTGAATCTTAGTCAACTCACAACAGGGTGAGAGTCTGATTGTTATTTCCCTCCCATGCCCTGCAGATCAGCATTAAATACCCACAGTACAACCCTCACTCTTTAGGCTGAAGAGGGGCTGAGGTACAGCCTCTGCAGAACCCACAGGCGTATGGTGTGTAGACATGAGAGAGGCAGGAGCCCCTCCCAGACGCTGGATTGTCTCAGCCTCCTGCCTTCCTTCCATGACCTCAGTGTTTCAGCTTTAAGGTTAGCTCCAGGTTAGGCAGTTCTGACCATGTCCCTCCCTCACTCCTTCCCATCTGCCTGTTCCTAATTTGCTAGTGTCATACAAAGCCTGCCCAAAACCTTTATTATCCACCTTGTTCCTCCCTTGCACTCATCTGGGCATGTCTCTGTCCCAGGAGAAATGAGCCTGCCACTTTTTTCCCTAGAACCTTATCTCGAGGAATCTCACTTCAGCTGCCCTTTCCCCGAAGAATCCCCAATTCCATCCTTGTAGGCCTAAATAATCTTCCTTCAAGGCCAGTGCTAATGACCCCTCCTCCAGAAGCTTTCCCCAGTTCCTCTGTCCCTTTGCTCTGGCACCAACTCACCTCTTATACTGTGTGTAATTACTGACCACTGCTGGTGGTAATGAGTTGCATGGAAACCCAAAGGTACGTGGTTCAAATCCATCAGCTTCTCCATGAGAAGAAGATGAGCAGTTTCCTCCTGTGTGATTAACTCCCTCTGAAAGCCCACTGGAGGGTCAGCTCTGGGTTGGCTCTGACTCAGTGGCACACACCACAACACAACCCTCTCCATTCCATAGGGGCTTTCTGAGGGCACGGTCCAGGTCCCACCCTAAACACCCCACACCCGCTAGCTGTCACTGTTCCTCAACAGTGCCTTGTTGAATGAATGAGTGAGTGTCTTTTGTGTCCCTCATTAGACCTGAAAGATTCTTCTTCACTTTCTCCGTAAACAGATATTTGAAGGGAACAGTGAAAAGGAAATCCCGGTTCTCAATGAGCTGCCTGTCCCAATGGTGGCCCGTTACATCCGCATAAACCCACAGTCCTGGCTGGACAACGGGAGCATCTGTATGCGGATGGAGATTCTGGGCTGCCCACTGCCAGGTGAGCCTTTCATTCCCTGTAGGGCGAGATAAGCAGGGAAAAACAGGAGTCCCCCAAAGGAAGGTCAGCCAAGGGTGACCCCAAAGGTCAGATGAGGCCATGGAAAAACAGAGCCTAGGTGAACAATGGAGGATGGGACTCAACACGGCAGGTGTAACCATAATCATCGTGAAAACTAAACTGTTGAATGAGTGTGCTTTGCTATGTATATAAAAAAAAAAGAAAGAAAAGTGGGTTGGGCTACTAACCAAAAGGTCAGTGGTTTGAATCCACCTGCTGCTTCATGGGAGAATGATGAGGCCTTGGGCTTGTCAAGCTTTACAACCTTGAACATCTGGCTCAGGCCGTGGGAGTCAGAATCCACTCAGCGGAGGGTTTTTTTTCTTGGAGGGGGTGGCTTATTGTAGAATCAGCAATAACAAAAACAAAAATTTCATGAACATTTGGGATAAAGAAATCACTTGCCAACTATAATTTTGAGACAATGTATATTTCAGGCACTCCTTCAACATTACCAGTCTGAAATGAGCAAAAGGGGGAAAAAATGTTTGGCAACAAATTTAATTGTGCTGGAAGGCTCCCCCCAACTGGGGAGTGGGAGTGGGGTAGGAGGTGGGAGAGTTAATTTTAACTTTGACAGTTTGAGTTGTCTGTCTGGTTAAATCACTTTATTTAACTGTCTGTTTCTTCGGCTAAATGCTCATCATTTCGGTTCTGTTCCCTCTGTCCTGTTTTTACAAGAGGGTCAAGGGGCTGTGACCTTAAGCAGCTCCATGAAAAGGAAACCCCCCCCCATCCCTGTATGGTTTGTCCCGCCTCACCATGTGTCACAGCTGACAGCTGCTTGCCCTGGCCGTTCTTCCCTGTGACCTTTGCCGAAGAAGACGCCAGGCCTTTCTTCATAAACCCTTAGTTTAATAGCTGAGGCCGCTGACACTGAGTCGATCCCAACCCTGGTGACCCTCCATTGCATTTCTAAGGCTATATACATCCTCACAGGAGGAGTCTGCTGCTTTTTCTACTGCAGAACAAATGGTAGATTTGAACCCCCAACCTTCCAAGTTAGCAATGCAACACTTATCATATAACACTTACCAGTCAAGCACAAACCATTTGCACCTCCCAGGAGCCAGTTACAGAAAAGGGACTTGAATTTCTGAGGCAGTAAATCTTAATGGGAGGAGACCACCTCATCTTTCTGCTTCCTCGTGGGTAGTGGACTCAAACTGCTGACCTTTTGTTTAGCAGCCCAATTGCAGTGTAGTGTACACATGCTTTATATGCAATGGGAAACCACATATTCAGTGTGAGTCACTGTATCTCAATATTCACTTGATTGCAGTGGTCTGCATTAGAACCTTCTGGGTGTTCAGTGGAGACTTGTGCTGTGTCCTTGTATGATTCTTCCCTCAGTCCCCTTAGATTCATGCACCAATATTTACACCGCAGGACCTGTAAGCTGAGTGTCTCTACGTGTCTATCTTCTTGTGTGTTATATGGACCCAGGCCAGGTCTAGGTTGTTAAATGTGTGTTTATAACGTAACTAAGAGAGCTTTCCCAGGCCCTTAATACTATTAGTGACCATCAGTTGTCTGTCTTCTAATCTTTCAAAAAGTCTCAAGCCTTTCGTCTGTGGTGTGTAGCTGGAAGTCAAGCATGTTTGAAGCATTTTCAGTCTACAAACAACCCTGCAATGAACATCCTGCTTTTTTAAATTAATTAATTAATTCTTTTTATGTGTGTACCGTCAAATTGGATCTGACTGGTACAGGAGGCGATTGTTCCTCCTTCTTCAGCAGAGCATCTGGTGGATTTGAACCGTGCACCTCTGGGATTGCAGTGCAGTTTCCTGCCACTAGGCCACCAGAGCTCACCTGAACATCCTGCTTTATGTGTCATTGTGGGTGTCCGGGACTGGTCCCTCCAGTCCAGTTCTGAGAACTGAAATTGCTGGTGCAAAGGAGCTGTGCTCCCCTGAAGTTGATGCAGCCAGAAAGCAGAAGCCCTGCCTGGTTTGGGACCCACGAGACCTCCTAAGTCTCCTGGGAGAGAACTGCATGAAGTGTGTAAAGAGTCTTATAGGGACAGCTTTATCTGACCTTTCCCAACTTCACAACGGGGAACTGTCCCCATCAACAACATCAACAACACAAAACCAATTCCCATGAGGTTAGACATGTCCCCCACACTCCCACAACTCGTCCTACTCATATCCACACCAATCTCACGTTTACTGGGTCCAAAATCCAATGTGATGGTTCAGAGACCTCACAGAACTGTACTGTTGTTGTTATTAAGTGCCGTCGAGTCACAGGCGACTCATAGCGACCCTATGAAGGAGAGTTCCCGACGCTTGGGGGCCTTTCATCCTCTCTCCAGGTTCATAGGGTTTCCGGAGGCAAGCTGTTGTTACGAGGGAAGTAAAAAAGCTATCATTCAGGTCAGTAGCAGAATACGGTCACTCAGTCAGGACAGCTTCCAAAATGTGCTCACAAGCACCTCGCAGCTTTAGGCCAGTGTTACAAAGCTTCCAGTCCTGCCGATTATGCCTCTTCTTCCTCCTCCCCTCTCCCCACCCTTACTCTTCCAACCTTGGTCAAAGGCTCTTAGCTCCGGTTCGATGGGGTATAATAGTCCGAAGTTCCGCTCTGACTCATGTAGGGTCTCTGGTCCTCTGATTCGGCCCCATCTGCTGCTGCTGTGAGTCTAGCTGGCACAAGAATCCCTGGTCCCAAAGGACGTGTGCTGCATGCCTGCTTCTTCTGTGTTGGTGGTGAGAGTCTCCAGTCTGCCACAGAGTCTGCTCAATTTGATGGATGGGCTAACAGATTCTGTTCACACATTCCCACCCATCCACATGGCAAAGTCAAACTTAATGGCTAGGAAAGGGGTTTTGAACAATAAACCCTTAACATCACAATGTGTCAGACTGCTAACTGAAGGGTCAGCAGTTCAAATCCAGCATTGTGTTCTGGGGGAGAAAGATGGGTAGTTCTGAGTTGGATAGTAGTGGTTTGGTTTTTTTTTTCCCCCCTGAGTACTCCCAGGATGACTGGCACATCCAGGGCCAGCTGGGGCTTTCCTCACCATAGTATGTCCACGCTTGAAGCTGTAAAGTCCAGTGGATAATGTAGGGCCTACAGCCCTTCTGGCCACACCCACTCAGCGAAGTCTCAGTCACTGGCTTTCACAGACAGGATCGTGGTTTCCATCTGCAGCAGGAATTTATCTGTTGTTGGCAGCGCAGGGCCTGCCGCTTTGTGAGGGCCTCATGAGATAAATATTTCCCTGTGAAGTGATTCTTCGTGTGCCTGTATGTCGGGATTAGCCTGGCGGGCTACTTAAATGCTCACAAGATAGTTACATTATGAAGTCTGTTTGAGTTTAAGAATAGACTCAGTTCTAGCCTTCATGTCTCAAATATTTAGGACCGTTTTTTCTTCTAGAAGTTATTTGACTGGTCCATCCGGGGAGCTGGCTTTCACATGTCCTCCGGTGGGGGTCTGTGGGGGGACTCACTCCATTGCCCTGAAATCAGATAACTGCTTTTATCCAAGTTAATGAGGCCAAGCCAAGGATGGCCCCAGGCAACTCAGCCCTTACACCCAAGGTGACCTTGTGGCCAGCTCTCCAGAATCCACTTCCTGGAACTTGTGTTGATAAAAAATTCATGTCCCTTTGTTTCTGCTTTGCTCTTCTGTGCCCTTTCCCTCCCTCCCCTCTTTAGGCTGACTCTTTGGTGGGGCCGAGGAGAGTGGGGGTTCTTTTTATGACCTCGTGAATAACTCTGCCAGAAATTTCTGAACCAGAAAATGGATGATCCTGTACCATGGTCTAAGAATAGGATTTTTAAGGTTCAAAAGTTAAAGAAAGTTCTGATCTTCAAATGTGAGATGAAAGATCCATTTTGGACTAAAGAGCCAGGCTTTTTAGAAGCTGAGGAGAGTGTCTTAAAGATAAATTTTTAATAATGAAGAATTTGGGGTAAGACATGTGACGGCTGACTTGAGCCTCACACCATGACCATTTTTAGTTATTTTACTGTTGTAAACAAAATTGCAGTTCCCACTGCCTGGTTCTTAAAGGGGTCCTGTGTCTCTGCACACAGTTTCCTTACAGGGCTTGTGCCCAGATCCTGAGACTTGCTTTAGCCTCAGGAGCTGGTGTTGCCCGGCTTGTTTACGAGTGAATATTGTGTGTCAACATAGCCATGACTATTCTTTGTGTGGTAAACTCTAACCTCTATGGTGTTAGTCAGAGAACACTGGTAGCCTAGTGGTTAAGGAGTTGGGCTGCTAACCCAAAGGTAAGCAGTTGGAGTCCACTAACTACTCCAAGGGAGAATGATGGGCAGTCTTTTCCTGTGCAGTTTGTGACTGCTGTAATAATGGGTTCAGGCGTAGCTACAGTCGGCAGGGAGGTACAGGAGCAGGCGTTGCTCTGTTCTCTCGTACTTACTGTTGCCATAAGCTGGAACAGAATTAATGACCCCTAACAACTGGAACAGCAGGTCAATAGACAACTGCCAGGTGTGCAGGCTGAGTTTAGAAGAGGCTGAGGCACTAGGGATATTGTAGCTACTGTGAGATGGATTTTAACTGAAAGCAGACAGTACCAGAGAAATGTCTGTCTGTGTTTCATTGACTAGGCAAAGGCATTTGACTGTGTGGATCACAATATACTGTGGATAATAACTCTGAGAAGAATGGGAATCCCAGAACACTTGATTGTGTTCATGCGAAACCTATATAATCTGTGTTATGCAGATGACACAACCCTGCTTGCTGAAACTGAGGAGGGTTTGACGCATTTGCTGCAGAAGGTCAAAGAGTGCAGCCTTCAATATGAATTGAAGCTCAACATCAAGAAAACAAAGATTCTCACCACTGAGCAAATTCTCTCCAATAGGCAACATCATGATAGACAATGAAGAGATTGAGATTGTTAACAGCTTCAGCTTGCTTGGCTCCACAATCATCACTCTTGGTAATCAGCAGCCGAAAATCAGCAGATGAATTGTACTGGGAAAATCTGCTGTCAGGGACCTCTCCAGGGTACTGAGGAGCAATGATGTCAGTCTAGAGACTATGACGTGCCTGATCCAGACCATGGTCTTTGCAATTCCTTACTATGCATCAGAGAGCATTCATCCTAGAGAGGTTAAAACCAGACTGCTCCTTAGAGGTAAGAATTTTGAAGCTTCATAGAACTAGCTTGGGCATGTTTCAAGGAGGGACAAGTCCTTGGAGAGAGACATCATGCTTGGAAGGGTGTAGGGACAGCGCTGGATTAGATGAATTGACTCAGTGACTGGGGTAATGGGGGTAGCTGTGTCAGACAATAAGGTTGGCTCAGGATAAATCAGAGTTCAGAACTGTTGCAAAGCACATAACAACAACAAAAGCAACAGCAGGCCGGAGGCTACTTTGTGAAGGTGAGGGCCCCTTGTCTCTAAAGGACTCCAGTGACCATGTCGTGGACTTTTCCGTGCTTGAAAGGAGCTGAAAGGTTCAGCAGTTGATCTCTCTGTGCCTGGAACAAAGAAGAGTAAAGAAAGTTAAAGATAGAAACAGGTTGTCCAGAGAACTGATGGACCTGGACCACACAAACTTCAGCCTTCGTGGCCCTGAGACTTGACGGGCCGGGCAGTGCTCAGCTCCCACTGTGCCCTCCCTAAAGGGACCACTGTACAGGATCAGTAGAGAAAACCATGACACACAACCTGAATTCATAAAAACGACAGGCTTTCTGGTCTGGTATACTGTGGAACGCCGGAGACCTTGGTTCTCAGTCACCGCGTGAGCCTGGGAGTGAGCTTATCCAGTGAGCTTATCCGTGGGCCTCAACTTTTCAGCCAATCAATAGATAGACTTTAAGGTGAACTGTAACACCAGGGAAATACTCACTCTTTTAAATAATCAATACGATTTTAAGGGCAGTATTTGCCCAGGGCAAAAGCTCAGAAGTAAGGAAGGGGTAGGAGGTGAGAATGAAAAAACCACCAAACCAACCCAAAACCACAAAGGAAGCACTTGCTCACCATATGAAAGGCTGAGGTAGACTTTGAAATTGCTCCGGAACTGGTACCTGTATTCGGGGGCAAGCGAATGCGACTTAACTAGGCAGGATGCTGCCAAACCCAAGAGTCCTCGTACTCTTGGAGCTGTTAGTTTTCTTTCATCTTTTCCAAGAACCTTGAAGGCATAACTTGTGTTCAAAGACGGGGGAGCTTTAAAGGTGTTGGATAAGAGGCTCTGAGGCTCGGGGAGTGCTGACTGGCTGTCAGAATCCACCTAGTGTTTTTCAGTATCACTGAGTGCAGGTGACATTCCCTGTACTCTGAGACTCAAGCTTGGCCATTGTGGGAAGTTCACCTGTCACGGTCGGGTCTGCCTGCTCTTCTGAAAGGAACCACCTTGCAAAATAATTGAGAGACATTTGGCAAAACCCAAATTGTGTCTTTCTTTCCTGGACAGAATGCCATTTTGTCCACTCACATAGCTCCCTTTTCACGGTCACTGCTGTGCTGCATCTTCTGTCATAACCACTGTGTCACTCTGCCTTCTTGAGGACCTTCCCCCAGCTATTGATGCTCTGTGTTGCAAAGCAACATACGTATCCTAATAATGCGTCCAAGTACGCAAGACAAGGCCTCACCGTCCTTGCTTCTAAGAAACATGCAGGCTGCACTTCTGCCAAGGAAGACAATCTTCTCTAACATCACAATTCAAAGGCCCTCATTCTTCTCCCGACTTCTTTCTTCCTTGTCCAACTTTTATTCCATGCACGTGAGCAAAAACATCTCAAAACACATTTCTGTGGAGTTAGAATCGACTCATCGCTGACCTTGCAGTGGTTTCCAAGAGACTGTAAATGTCCCCCGGGGAGATTGCCCTCCTTTCTCCTGCAGAGTCACAGGGGGATACGAAATGCCAGAGCACTGCTGCATTTGCATGAGCAGTGCGGCTCCCTATGTACTATGTCACCAGAGCCGATACACGGAGGTGAAGCCGTGGAAATAGCAGGGCTTGAGTTAGATGCTTTTCAGTCCTCAGAGTGACCGCTCGAACATTTTAAAGGGATCTTTTGCAGCAAATTTGCTCAAGGCAAAAACACATTATTTGATTTCTTCACTTCTGTTTCTATGGGATGACTGTAGATCCAAGTAAAATAAAATTATAGACAGAAACGTGCAACCCTAACTGATAAAGCTCAAAGCCTTCGGATGGAGGCACTTCAACTACTGTCACTACTTGATGATATTGGTGAGGCTGCCTCCACTCTGAGCAGCAGAGACTCTGCCTCCAAAGAGCTTAACTAGAAGGGATTTTTTTTCCTGTGCCTCTTTCCCTCCCCTCTATGTGAATTCTTTTATCTCATACAAATTGGAATCCCAGTGAAGGTGACACTGACGTGAAGGTTGATTGACTCCATAGCTCTTGGTGTTTGTTGTTGGAACTCTTCCTAGCTTCTCAAAGTAGCCTTGGTGGCTCAGTGGTTTTAGTGTAACTGAAATGTTGTTGGTTGGAAGAACTCAGCCACGCCACAGAGATAGATAGAAGAGTCTGCCTCCCAAAAATAGAAGCCGCGTGGACCCTCTCTATCATAGAGTCGCTGTGAGTTGTAACTGACTCAGTGGCTGTGAGGCAGCAATGGGTTGGTTTCTCCTCTGAGACGTCCCTGCCATTGATCATGAGGCCATTGATCCTGAACAGTGGCTGGAGTGGACAATATACTTGGCATTCTTATAATTGAGAGAGAGAGAGAGAGAGAGAGACAGAGAGACAGAGACATACTTCCTCAGCACTCTTCTGTGCCAGCAAAGCTCCCTTTTCTATTTGGATCTGTAAGACTGAGACGGGGATGAGGCGTGTTGTGATAGGATTGGTCCCCTGATGCCTAGCTTGAATCGTGCACTTAACTCCAAGTAATGAGATGATGGCACTGAATTTTAAATTCTATTTCTGTCTCTAGATCCTAATAACTATTACCACAGACGGAATGAAATGACCACCACCGATGACCTGGATTTTAAGCATCACAACTATAAAGAAATGCGACAGGTAAGAAAGACCCAGCTTGAGAGGCCTCATTCTAGGATGTTGTCAACACAGCAAACCTGCACACAAAGCGCATGTTGTTAAAGTCAGAAGTTAGGGTGGTGGGTTAGGGACAGGTTCAGAAATGATTATTTTGGTTTACTGGAGACTCTAGATGGTTGTCATGTCAAGGTTGGGAATTAAGGTCATGCGATCAGAGACGGTTCCCTCCTTAGCAAAGGGTTGAAACAGCATGTGAACCCACACTACTGATTTGCGAATACAGTCCTTATGAACCACTGAATATCTGAGTGGGATCACATATTTAACAATGCTGCTCAGATAGGGAATTGGTGGAGAAGGAGGGTCTAGAAAACGCTGATACCCATCCTGCTGTTAGGCGCCGTCTCCTAGGTCAGGTTCATGTCGCTGTTATGTGCTGCTGAGTTGGAGTGGACTCATAGCTTGACCCTCCAGCAGGTTTTCAGAGAGTGTAAATTACATAGTAGGAGATTGTCTGCCTTTTTCCTGCAGAGCAGCTGGTGGATTTGAACCATCTGCCTTTGGGTTGACAGCACACCTCTTTGCTGCTACAGCACCAAAAGTTTCATAGCCACCTTATTACGCAACAGCGTGAGATGCTGCCTGGATTTGTGCCGCCTTCACTATCAATTGCTTGAGCCCGTTCTTGCAATCTCTGTGTGAGTCTGTGTCATTGCAAGCTTGTCTCTGAAAACCTGCCAGACGGTCAGCTACGAGTAGGTTTCAACTTGACGATAAACAACATCACCACAGTAATTATTATTATACATGATTACAGTTTATGTAAAAGTAGACTTACATAATACTAGTAGTAACAAGAAACATTCATAGAGGTCGTTCCACATGTCAGATGCTAAGCCCACGATGTGTGTTCACTAACACCCTCAGAATATCTGACAGCCCTTGTTGTGTAGATACTGTCCCGGTCCTTATGACTCCTTACGCCTCAACTCAGTAATTCTCAGTCCTGACTGAATTATAAAATTACTTGGGGGAGATTTGTGAAAATGCCTATAGGTAAATCAGTCTCAAGCCCATTAGAGCAGAGTGTCTAGGGACCGGGCTGGGAGCCAGGATTGTAAAAGCTGTCCGCGTGATTCTCACGTACCCTCAAGCCTGCAACTACTGGTTGCTACCTTTAGAGCTTTGAGTGCTGTTGGAAGGAAATGGCAATCCCAGATGGGATTTTTCCCAGATGGAATTACAGAAGTCAAGTGCTGCTGAGCTCTGGACAACAATTGGTCTAGACATTTATGAGAACAAGTTAAAACAGCAGGGCCTTGTTGGATGCTTTGTCTATAAATCCTTCTCAGTGCAGGCTGCCAACAAAGTGTTGGAAAGCTTGGGAAAAGGGTGGCTAAGTGAGAACTCTTTCCATCTCTGTGAATCTTCTCAGAGAGAACAGCAGAGAAAAGGTGCAGCTGAAGCCTTTGTATGGCAAGGGTTTCACCAAGGATAAGTTCACAAGGATCAAAGCTAGAGTTCACAGGTACCATGGGAAGAAATCAGCCTGCCAGTCGAAATGCTGATGTTCGTAAGGTTGGAGCAATTAGACTGAGCTCTGAGGTTCTCACTGTCTCCAGCCCAGGAAATGAGCCAACCTGGTGCTGCTTCAATGTGCATTAACCTGAGACACCCAGACGCAGGTCCCAGCTGCCCCCTGGCACAGATGCAGAAGTAGGATGTGCTAATGACATTTCTTGCTGTCTTGCTCTTTGGAAATCAAGATAACGCATTTGGACACGAGGGCTGTGACTCATCCCGGCTGCTCTGTGCCTGTGGGGTGTTTATGTGGCTCTGTGCACCCTTCTGTTTGATGGAGCACTTGTGTATGAATTCCCATTCACTCGGTGGAGTTTTCAGGACATCATCTGGAGCCCAGCCAGAAATCAGGCAAGAGTCAACACAGTTGACACATCTAACGTCAAAGGCAATAAATCTAAATGCATTTCAAATGAGCTAACTGCGCAGAGACATTCAGGGAGCTGGTAGCTTCCAGTAACTGTGCCAAGTGGAGAATGGAGCTCTTCTGTTGAAGGAGGGCTGTGGAGCAGGGCTCACGACACCAGGAGAATCTGGTGAGCAGGACTTGGTAGACGGTCAAGCTAGGAAGGCCATTGACTTCACCTATCCCAGCCTCCTGGGGTGACGTGCATGACCTCTCTGAGGTCCTCAAGCCTAGGAAAACTCAACTCCAAGCAGTCGAGGGGGCATCACTTATCAGTCCCGAGGAACCTTCCAAGATGTTCCTAAACCCCTCGAGTGGTTTGCCCTTTGGAACTCTGGCCTGGGGTGGGAATGAACTCAACATGGTTAGCTGTCTTCTCACTGGGAACCTGCCAGGTCAGTGTACACATTTTTCTACTTCAAGAACAAATTGTTAATTTATCCTCCTTTTGAAAGTGACATTTACAAGAAAGAATTTAAAATCAGAAGCGAGAGCAGAAAGCGAGGAGAAAAAAATAGAAAACCCTGAAAAGTTACAGGAGAGAAATAATGAGAATGTGTATACTTCTGTTCTGAGCTGAGAGGGTGTGAGTACCCAGCAAGCGTGGTCCACTGGGGTCAGTAGTGTCTTCCCACCATCTGTAGTGCACAGTGTCACCTGCCTGCATCGCCTAGGTGTGCTGAATCTACTCCACGTGGTTCACCCCAGATTGGCAAGAAGCAGTGCTAAGCCCGTGTGTGCACCTTGCTCAAGGAGCCATGGCATTGTTACAAGGCTGGGGACTGAACCACCAGCCACCCTTTGGGAGAAAGCCGAGCAGACTCCTTTCAACAACTCTAATAGTACAGTAACAGGGAACTTGTAGGAATTCAAGCTGGCTTTAGCAGAGACCATGGCATTGGAGATGTTATTGCTGATGTCAGAAGGATCTTGGCTGGAAGCAGAGAATATCAGAAGAATGTCTATGTGTGTTTTATTGTGTGGATCATAACAAACTATGGCTAACACTGAGATGAATGGGAATTCCAGAATACTTAACTATCCAAATCTGTACCTAGACTGACAAGCTATTGTCTGAACAAAGCAAGGGAACACTGCATAGTTTGGAATTGGAAAGGTATGTGTCAGGTTTGTATCCTTTCTCCATATCTATTTAATCTGTATGCGGAGATAATACTTTGAGAAGATGGAATTTTTGAAGAAGAAACTGATACAACAGTTGGATGAAGACTTCATCAATAACTTGTGTCATATGGATGGCACAGTCTTGCTTACTGGAAGAGGAGGACTGAGGCACTTTCTAGAAAAGATCAAGAACTGCAGCCTTTTACATGGATTACATCTCAACATCGGCAACATCATGATAGAGGAAAGATTGAAATTGTCAATGATTCCGTCTTGTTTGGATCCACAGTATCAGTAGTCAGGAAATCAGGAGACATATTACATTGGGCAGTCTGCTGTTAGGGATCTTTCCAAAGTCCTGAAGAGCAGTGATTCAGTGTGAAGACTAAGGTGCACCTGATTTAAGTCACAGTCTTTCCAATCACCTGCTATGCATCTGAGAGCTGGACAGTGAATAAAGATGTCAGAAGAAGAATTGATGCCTTGAGTTGTGGTGTTGAGAGAAGAGAACTGAATACCCTATGGACTTCCAAAAGAACGAACAGATATGTCTCAGAGAAAGTGTGAAGAGCTCCTTGGAAGCAAAGATAGTGAAGCTTCATCTAATCTCACATGTTGTTGTTATTGTTATTAAGTGCTGTCAAGTTGTAGGTGACTCATAGGGACCCAATGGATGAAAGTCCTCGACACTTGCATGCGTGACTTTCATCCTTTCTCCAGGTTTATAGGGTTTCGAGAGGCAAGCTATTACGGAAGTGGATGCTACTCCTGCTTCCAAGCTTGTTTCAACCGGGGGGCACCACCAAACACTGTCCACCATGGATAACCATTATCACATTTGACACATCAGTGTCACAGTGTTCAGCTTCACAGCAACCACAGGTTACCTCTGTATGGCAAGTGGATACACCAGGAATATATGACCTGCGTCTCTTCCAGATTTTAGGACATGGTATTATTCCTTGGAAAGGAACATCATGTTTGGAGAAGTGTGTCAGCAAAGGAGAGGAAGACTCTCAAAGAGGTGAACTGATACGGTGTCTGTAGCAATGGGCTCAGATGTGTCAGAGATTATAGGACAGAGCTCAGATATGTTGTTCATAGGGTCCTTATGAGTCGTACTCAACTTGATGGTACTTAAAAAAATGAGTCTCCCATAAAGACTTACAGCCTCCCATAAAGACTGAAGCCTGATTGAAGGGCTGCCATGACTTGGAGCTGATTCGCCTGCAGTGGGGTGTTTATTTCCTAGATCGGTGCAATGCCTCCATCTCTGTGCAGTAAGCATTTCTGAGATACTGTCTTGTGGGCTACTCCAGGCACAATGAGGGATACAGGGTGGTGGAGATGGAAGATGGAGGAGAGGAGTGAGGTGCAAACTTCTCTCAGTACCTATGTTATAAGGTGGAATGTAACCATGGTCCCCAGAGCACGCTGAAGGTTCTCTTGGTACTTGATCAAAAATTCAAACACAAACTCATTGCCACCCGGGCGGTTCCAGCGCAGAGCTGGCCCTTCAGCACATTTCCGAGGCCGTAACAGTGCAGGAGGAGACGGGCCAATCTTTCTTCCTTGGTCATGACTGATAAGTGGCTAGTCTTGTCTACACATGCAATGGCTGTGACCCTCACAGAGGACAGTGAGGACAGCTATTCTGGCTCTTGTGTCCCAAACCCACAACGGCCACTTGATTAGATATGCCTATTAGATGCTCTAAGTGTCTGGGGCTTTGGAGGGAGAAGCAAGGGTCTGGTTGGCCATGGCTGGAAGGGACTCTGGGGTTGGCAGTCTTACCGAAGGGAGTGTGTGGTTGGACTGTGACAGGCAAAGAGGGTGTCGGCGAGAGTGAAGGTGTGGAGGGAAGAGTGTGCAGGCTTGTTACAACGGGCATGTCCCAGCAGAGTGCTGGCTCTGGATGCCAGAGAGGCGTTTGTGTCAGAGAGTCCTGGGAGCAGCACTGGGTCTAAAGCAGATGGGTCTGCAGTCCTGTGGGGAGCAGCTTGCAGGGTCCTGGAGTGGTCACCTGAGAGGAGAGCAGGACACTTCTCAGGAGTGTGGGGCTGTGTGGGCAGCGGGGTGGGGGAGTTAGCAGAGAAGGGCGTCTTCTCAAAGTCCCGCCGCCTTTGCTCGGTGACCATTGTTACCAAGCAAGTCTGTTTCATCTTGTTTTGCAGTTGATGAAGGTCGTGAATGAAATGTGCCCAAACATCACCAGAATTTACAACATTGGCAAAAGCTACCAGGGCCTGAAGCTGTATGCTGTGGAGATCTCGGACCACCCCGGGGAGCATGAAGTTGGTGAGGGGTGCGCCTCTGGGGCCTTGTAACCGGATGAGATGATGGCGAGGCCCTCCTCACAGGATGACTGGCGGTGGTGTGTGTGACAGGTCTCACAGAAACAGGACTCTGAAGATTTGGGCTGTGAAACCTGGAGACCTAGTTGCTGCTGTTGTTATGTGCCCTCAAGTCAGAGCCAACTCAGAACTGACCCTTGTTGAGTTTTCAGAGGCTGTAAATCACACCAGAGGAGATTGTTTATCTTCTTCCTGTGGGACTGGTGGTAGGTAGATTTGAACCACTTGCCTTTGGATTGGCAGAGCAGCTCCTTACCACTAGGCTACCTGCCTTTGCTCCACATACACCCTAGTTCACTCCAGGCTCCCCATCTCTGTGACTAGTCACACCAGAGCAAAGAGGAAAGTGTCTGGGGATTCTTAGAATACGGTCCCATTTCAGGAAAATGCCCTCGACTACTTGATCTTGATAGCTTCAAGTAGGAAAGCGTCCCTTAATTTTATGTAGAAGAGTTCAGTTCTATGGTGAACATTTCTAGTTTAGTTATTTCTTATTTAATTCACCCCAAACCTGTATTTCTACAGGGCTGGGTCAGTTTGTTTTGTTTTTTGGTTGTTTTTTGGTTGTTCATTCCATTTGCTTTAATACATCTGTGGAAACTTTAGAAATCTACTGATAAGTAAAAGCAAAGATTTGTCTAATTTACTCAATATTAACGTCCATCAATATCTCAAGGTCCCTCTAAGGAACCTGTTTTAAAGGGGAAGAGTTTTATGCTTTATCTGCTGGTAAAATCACATTTCCCCCAGGGCATGAGCTTTGCCTGTGAGCTTACCTCCAGTGCGAATGAACCTGTGTTTAGAAAGCTGAGCTTGGAAAGGCAAAATATTCCCAGACAGCCCTTTGGAAAATTGTCTGTTGCTGATTTTCCCCGATGGGCTATTTTCTGCTTATGTTTTTTTCCTCTTTGTGTCCTTGCGATGTTTGATAGGCAGTGCTTTTAAGAAAAAGAACTGGCTTCCAACAAAGAAATCTAATTACGGTGCTTTGTGCTTTCATTTTCCACAATAAGTGCTGCTCTGTTTTATCTGTCCTTGCTGAGGAAGAGTATACATTATGGTTGGGGGGGCTGTCACCCCCAGTTCTGGAATACAGTGGTGGTGCTGATGAAACGTGGAGGTGTGGTTGACGAGAAGACGCTGTGGTGTGAGAGTCTCTGCTGCAGCCAGATTGCCGTGTGCTGTGAGTGGCCAGCCTGAGCCGTGTCCCCTCTCCGAGCACAGGTGAGCCCGAGTTCCACTACATCGCGGGCGCCCATGGCAACGAGGTGCTGGGCCGTGAGCTGATGCTCCTGCTGATGCAGTTCCTGTGCCAGGAGTACTTGGCGGGGAACCCCCGCATCGTCCACCTGGTCGAGGAGACTCGCATCCACATCCTGCCCTCCCTCAACCCTGATGGCTACGAGAAGGCCTATGAAGGGGTACGGAGCTGCTTCCCCCTCGCCCCTGCCAGCCACCAAGCCCGTTCCAGACTCAGAAGTGACTGGGAAATACCACGTAGTCTAACTGAAAGGTTGACTGTTCTAGTCCACCTGCAGAAGCGTTACAGCCTTGGGCAGCCCGAGGGACTGGCCTGCTCTGTCCCACCATGTCGCTGAGCTGCGGTTGGGTTTGGCTTTGACTTTTGCTTTGTGGAGACAGGAAAGACGTCCAGGCCTTCCTGACCGTTGATTACTGTGAGAGAGAGGCGCTCGCTAGAATGTGTTTCAGTCCTGTTTTCACACATTCCCTGGTCCCAGCCATCTCCCATTCAATTCCTACCAGACCTGGGTTCTCAAAACAAGAGTTGGGAATGCTGAGGTAGACATATCCAAAAGCCCTAGAAAACGAACCCGAACGTTGCAGTAGCTGTTGAGATGACTGATTGCTGGTGGACACATATTGTGCAGGGGAGCGGTCCCCAGTCCCGGATCAGTAGCATAATCAGGATCTTCCAGCCCAGATTTGCAGCCAGCTGGGGCTCAGCTAGCGCATCCCTCAGTTTTGCAGCGCTTCGGCTTTACCAGCCACAGTGCCCTTTTCTATCTAGCAAGGGATCTTTCTGACTGGGTTCGAACCACCAGCCCCATATTAGCAAGCACGCCCCCATGTTTTTGGCCCCCTGATTGGAAATGCTATGACTGTGTTTTGGGTGTCAGCGTCAGGACCAGCTGCAGGCTACAGGACCTTCACGCTCTATCATCTTCCAGGGCTCAGAGCTGGGAGGCTGGTCCCTGGGGCGCTGGACCGATGAAGGAATTGACATCAACAACAACTTCCCCGACTTAAACTCGCTGCTCTGGGAAGCGGAGGACCGGCAGAATGTCCCAAGGAGAGTTCCCAACCACCACATTGCCATCCCTGAGTGGTTTCTGTCGGAAAATGCCACTGTGAGTACAAAGTACCCCGTGATCTGCCAATCAGCTCAGGGCCAGAATGATGCCCACTGATATTTTCAGAGAATGTGACATTTAAGGGTAACACAGAGCCATTTCCTCTCGTATGCTTTCTTCAAAAGCAGGAGCTGTGGTAGATAATAATTGTCCTCTCTAGTTTTACCATCTTTTCCTTCAGATTTTAATTGGGTTTGAATGAGGTTTACAGAGCAAATTGGTTTTCCATGAAGCTATTCATACACATTATGTTTTGTGACATTGATTATGATTCCCATATTCTAACAGTGCACTTCCCACTTCCTCACTGGGCTAACCTGTCTCGTCTGGTCTTCTTTCCTGTCCCTTCCTGCCTTCTGAACTTTATATTTGAGTAAGTACTTCCCACATCATCTTTAATGGTTGATTATATTCCGAGGGAATGCCACCCTCATACAGCTCCTGAGCTTCTAATCCTCCAATGGTTCCAGAAAGACAGGACATCCCCTCTCATTGCCTTGTACAGCCCTGGATGCTCCCTATGGGGCTGGACCTAATTCGATGGCGTGGAGACAGGAGCATGGCCTGCCTTCTGTTTGACTGTTGTAGGCTCACCATGATCCTGGTTGACTCAACAGCATTTAACAACATTGTTTGGGTGGAAGTTGAGTCATGGAAGTAACTGCAGCTCCAGGCTTGAAGGGTCACAGTCTTGATGAGGGTTCTACTGATGTCTTAACGGCTTTAATCTTCATGATTTTTAGGCTGTCCCATAATTTTCCCCTATTGTGTGGTCACTGTTGTTATGTAGTGTTGTACAGATAGGTAGATAATGGATGTGGTTTTGTGCCATTGAGTTGGAGCCGACCCATAGCTGACCCTCCGGCAAGTTTTCGGGGGCAGCTAATCATAAGTGAGGAGATTTCCCTTCCTTCTGCAGAACAGCTGGCGGATTTGAACTGTATGCCTTTGGGATTGCAGTGCAGCTTCATACCGCTAGGCCACCAGAGCGCCCTATAAGACACATATGTTGTGGTGTTGTTGTTAACTGCCGTCGAGTCATAGGTGACTCATAGCGAGCCTGTGAACGAAAGTCTTGGACACCTCCTGTATAACTTTTGTCCTTTCTCCAGGTTCATAGGGTTTCCTGAGGCAAGCTATTGTAGAAGTGGATGGCACTCCTGCTTCCAAGCTTGTTTTAACTGGGGAGCGCCACCAAACACTGTATGCCTTGGGTAACCATTCTCACATTTGACTCATCAGTGTCACAGTGTTTGGCTTCACAGCAACCATGAGTTACCTCGGTACAGCAAGTGGACAGACCATGACATATGGCATATATTGTGTTAAAAGCAAAACAACCCACCTCTCAAATTCACTGCTGTCCAGTCAGAACCAACTCACAGCTGACCCTCCAGGGGGTCTTCAGCGGCAGTTAACTGCCCATCTTTCTCACTCACAGCAGCTGGTGCATTTGAACTACATCCCTTTGGGTTGGCGGTATAGCTCCTTAGCACAAGGCCACCAGAGTCCCCTCTCCTTGATGTGTGGTTGTGGACTGTAGAGTCAGAACCGACCTATGGCTGAGCCTCCAGAGGGTCTTCAGAGTCTGTACATCGCACGGGACGTGACTGCTCAGCTTTCTCCCGTTACGCAGAGGCTGGTGGATTCCAACCACATACCTTGCATTGCAGCACCAGGCACCATCTGGTGCTACTGGGCTCAGGGTCAGGGAGAGGGAAACTCATTAGTCCTTTGGTTTTTTTATTTTTGGTCTTTGATTTCTTTGCTCTTTTTTTCCTCTGGACAGAAAGGCCAGTAGTGATATCCTGGCTGGCTTCTTGCAAGCTTCTAAGGTCCCAACTGCTTCTCAACAAAAGAGGATTATAGGACACAGTTGTAAAAAATTGAAGTCTGAGTGGATTGTTTATAGAAGAGAAAGAAACTGTTCATTTGTTTTGTCACATCTCTGATGGTATCCTATAGGGAATTGTGCTGCTAGTCCCAAAGTTGTTCCCCTCTCTCTGGTGGTTCAAATCCACCAGAGACTCCTGAGAAAGATGGACAGCCTCCTTCCTGTGATCTAGAACCTTCAAAACCCACTGGAGGGGCAGCTGGGAGCCAGTTCACAATGAGGTTGGTTGGTTGTGAGTTTTTAGTTTAGGGTTTTTTTAGTTATTCAGTGTTTCAAAAAAACTTGCTCCGATTCTAGAATTGTGAGTATCTATTGCTACAACAGTGAGATCAAGCCCAGCAACGATTACAAGGACCCACTCAGGGCTGAGCAGTGTCCCCATGGTGCCTCCCAACATCATCAGTGTTTCACTACTGCTACTTATGCTGCTCTGAAATTATCCTTAATCTTTACTGGTTACTTGAGACATTTTTATTTTGACAAATTGCTGTAGATTATTACATTTGACCCTTCTTTAGAAAGAAAAATGAACTTGGATGAGAAATTTTATTCCCAAATTTCTCAGGTCTTCTTTCACAAAGAGTATGTAGTAGAAGGAACAATTCTCACAAAATTTTCTAGGTCTTTTATTGCCTCCTGTGCCCATAATCAGCTTTTTATTTCTGTTACTCCATCCTACATGCTTTGTAAGGGCTGTCTGCCTTGATTGTGATATTAGGATAGGTCCTTCTGTACATAATGTAAAAACCAAAGTAACCGTGGCTGACCAAGGCTGAAGGAGGCTGGTGATACTGTGGGTAAGCACTGAGATGCTAACAGAAGTGAGAGTGGTTTGAATCCACCGGCTGTTCTATGAGGGAATACTGTAGCATCTGTTTCCGTGAAGATCGACAGCTTGGAAACCCTCCGGGGCAGATCTACTCTGTCCTCTTGTCCTGCGGGACCACTGTGAGTTGTTAATTGACCCATAGCGATGGGTGGGTGTGAGATCCAGCCCACAGTGCCAGGAATTTTGAAAGGGGAGCGAAATGATGACTTAAAGAAAACACAGACACAATTTAATTTTTATGAAGAAGTCAGGGAAATACTGTATGAGGCCATTATTGTAGAAATAGAAAGAGAAAGAGACCTGGTAAAACAAGCATGAGGCTCCAAGGGGGAAGGGTAAGAGGAGAGGGGTGAGAATGGGCAGTGGGGTAATCATAGGGTCACATAAGTTTATAGGTAGAGGAAGGGGTGGGTAAAGGAAATGGGAAAGATTCGGTGTAAAAAATCCCAATGTATACGAACGTTGTAAGCAAACCCGTATAACATAAAGATTTATTAAAAAAAAAGGGGGGGGGGTCAAGGGAGCTCTGGTAGCCTAGTGGCAAAGAGCCTGGATTGTCATTAGCCCTTCATATTTATTATCCTTCTCCAAGATCAAGTTTAAACAAACAACTTTGTTTTCTCATTCCTAAGCAAGCACTGTAGTTCCGTGGACTTGTGTGTCACTCCTTTGTATCAAGGAACAGGGTATATGGAACTACTTACGTGGCCACGCCAGTAGTTCCTCGTTTGTTGAGTTTCTGCTTACCACGTGTAAGCGGTCTGCTGTCTCCACGTGATGTGGTGTAAGTCTAAATCTCAGCACTCAAGCCCCTTTCCATGATGGTCTCCAACAGGTGTGCTTTTGATGGTGTTTTTATTTTTTGGTAAACACATAAACATTTATTTCTGTTTTTAAAGAAAAGAACTTGGAGGCCGATGGTGAGAGCTGCGTACACTGATACCCCATAATGATGGGGACCTCAGGATTTGTCTTTCTTCCTGCCCTTATTATGATAGTACACGTCTCTCATCCCCAAGGGCAAATCCAAGATGGTGGTTGGTGTGCCAGCTCTCTTGGTTGGAAATGAAAAGGACAGAAGTAGTTTAAAAATCCTTTTCTTAGATAATTCTGTTTCTTTCAGGAGGCCTTGCTAGAATCTCTACACAGTGCTTCTCCTTGATCTCATTGGCTGGAATCTAGTTACCTGACAGTGGTTCACTTTTGTTGTCGTTGCATGCTATCAAATTAATGCCAACAAATATTGACCTTGTGTAACAGGCCCATGGGGTCTTGTAGGCTGTAGACAGATATTTTTCTCCTATGAAGGCAGTTGTTGTTATGGGCCATCGAACCAGATCTGACCCGTAGCAGACTCTCCAGCAGATTTTCAGAGGCAGTAAATCACACCAGAAGAGATTGCCCGTCTTTCTTCAATAGAGCAATTGGTGGATTTGAACCACATGCCTTTGGGTTGGCAGCACAGCTCCTTACCCCCAAGCCCCAGTGAGTTTAAATCACTGACATTAGCCATAGTGGCACCAAGGTTCCTTCTCCCTATGTATAGAGTTGGAAAATGTGGTATTTTAGGCATAGATGAGGCCTAAGAAGGCAGGAGAAAGGCACTGTAACCTCAAAGAAAGGACTGGAAGAATGAGGAAGTCTGGCAATAATCAGTGTGGGCAAGGAATTGAGCCATTGGATCTGCACTGTGACGTGTGAATTAGCACAACTTTGGAAAACAGTTACTACCTTGTAATGTAGACTGGTTATGTATCTTTGACTCTGCATCCACTTCCGGTTATATTTGTTGTTGTTGCGAGGAGTCAGTCCTGATTCATAGTGGGCGTGTGCATAACTCATCTCAGGCAAAAGAAACTTCAGCTTCTGTAATAGAAGATGGTACAAGCGAATCAAAAGCAGCACTGTTCTTTACAGCAAAAAATTGAGAATAACTTTCTGCTTGCCATTCCAAGAACTGATCAATTATGAGATACACATATGTATCGAACAAAACCTGAATTATCGTTATATGCTGTAACACTGACAAATCTTAGGCACAGAAAATTGAGCAAATTGTTTCAGGGGACTGAAACTATGCTGTGTTACACTGCATGGTGAACACATGACATTATATATTTGTCAGATTCCACAGATACATACAACACAGAGTGAACCTTCATGGAAATGATGAATTCCAGTTAATAAAAATCACTACAAGATGTTGGTAACAGGAGAGACCACTAATGGAGGGTAGAGAACTGTGATTCCTGCTACGGTTTTTCTGTAAACCTAAGAGTTCTAAAAAACTAAGGTGTTGTTAAGTGCCGTCAAGTTGCAGGCAACTTATAGCAACTCTATGAACGAAAGTCCTGGACACCTCCTATATAACTTTCATCCTTTCTCCAGACTCATAGAGTTTCCAGAGGCAAGCCATTTCAGAAGTGGATGCCACTCCTGCTTCCAAGCTTGTTTTAATCAGGGAGCTTCACCAAACTCTGTCCACCATGGGTAACCATTCTCCCATTTGACTCACCAGTCACAGTGTTCAGCTTCACAACAAGTGGACACACCAGGGCTATATGACCTAGAAGAATGTTTCACCAAAAACAGTTAAAGGCAACCTGAGGGCCACAGAGTGGAAATGGGAAATGTAGACAGGAAATGGAGCGAGGACTGCTATATTGTGGGGGTGTCACAATTAGTGTAGAAAAAAATGTGTATAAATAGTTGAATAGAAAACTAATTCACTTTGTAAACTTCCACCCCAGTCACAAGAAGTTGTTTAAGAAATATGTTTATTAAAGATCAACAATAAAGAAGCCTAATGGAAAATTGCTGGTAGGGTAATTATCGGGCTGCTAACTAGAGAAGGCAATTGCTGCCTCTTCCTTTAATAGATCAAAAATCAAATGCTTATCCCTCGTTTCCTCCAAGTCGAGTTTTCCTAGGACAGATGGTGAAGTTCTCAAGTCTGTTCGAATCAGCCCAGGACGTGGTGACTTTCCCTCTTGAGGTCTGGAGCGGTCAGTGTCCTCGCCCTGGTGGCAGCGTGTCTGGCTGTTCCTGCTCACAGGTGGCAGTGGAGACCAGGGCGGTCATCGCGTGGATGGAGAAGATTCCCTTCGTGCTGGGCGGCAACCTGCAGGGCGGGGAGCTGGTGGTGGCGTACCCCTATGACATGGTGCGGTCACTGTGGAAGACCCAGGAGCACAGCCCCACGCCTGATGACCACGTCTTCCGCTGGCTCGCCTACTCCTACGCCTCCACGCACCGGCTGATGACGGACGCGAGGAGGCGGATCTGCCACACGGAGGACTTCCAGAAGGAAGATGGGACCGTCAATGGCGCTTCTTGGCACACTGTCGCTGGAAGTAAGTGTCATAAGGCCTGCCTCTGGCTGGTGATGGATGGCAAGGGTAGGGAGGGACCGAGTCCTCTGAGCTAGTCTCAACCGTAACAAAGTCTACAAAGTAGGTGACTGAAAACTACAGGCAGTTACTTTTTCACAGCTCTGGAGCCTAGGGTTCAAGGTCAAGGTATAGGCAGGTCCTCTTCTCTCTGAAGACTCTTGCTCTTGCTCCTGGCTAACAATTCTTGGCATTTTTTGAGTAATGATAGTGCCATCCAGGCTCTGCCTTTGCCGTCAGGCTGCCAACTTCTTTGTGTGGCTATTGATTCTCAAATCTCCTTCTACTTATTAGCCCATTAGCCTTTACATTTAGAGATCACCCTCAATTTAACTCAATTACACTGTCAAAGACCCCGTTTCTACAAAAAGATCATGTTCACAGGTTCCGGGGATTAGGAATTGAACGTATCTTTTGGAGAGACCCAAGCCAACCCACAGCACCCTCTTTGTATCACTATTATCGGTGGTGGTGGTGGTGGTTATGCACCATCGAGTTACTTGGAACTCATAGTGACCCTGTGAACAACAGTTCAGAGCCCTGTCCTATCCTGCACCATCTCCATCATCCCTCACACACTTGAACCCATTGCTGCCGTCATTGTATCAACCCATCTCATTGAGGGTCTTCCTCTCTGTCCCTTTTCCAAGGAATAGCCCCTCCTAACAACATCCCAAAATCTATGAGAGGAAGCTTTGCCGTCCTTGCCTCTAAGCGACACTCTGGCTGCACCCTCTCCAGACATCTCCTTGTGCTCACTCGGCAGTCTCTGGAATATTCAGCACTCTTCTCCAACACCACGACTCCGAGGCATCCATTCTCCTCCTGTTGTCCTCATTCATTATCCAGCTTCCAGACGCACAGCAAGCGATTGAAGAGACCATGGCTTGAATCAGGCGCACCTTAGTCTTCTGACTGCATTACTGTTAAATAACCTTTACCATATTTGCATGCATGCCGCATGCTGGGACTATGTTAAGCACTTCAGGTTTATGTGTCATTTAGCCCTTCCACAGCCTCTGAGGTGACTGTACTGGGATGTCCTCTCCACCTTGTAAGGGTGTTAACTGAGACGCAGAGCCAGGAGCGAGTCTGCCCAAGTGCAAGAGGACCAAGTGGACTCTGAGTCGGGAGGCTGCTCACTGTGCTGGCCTGATTTTTGTTAGGGTCAGAGAAGGGGAGAAGGGTAAAATAGGAGTTAGGGGAAAGTCACTGATGGAGGCCCCCCCAACAGGGCTCTTTCCCTGTAACCAGTTAGGTTTATGCCTCCAGAGCTGGCCTGGCCTGTGACTCGGCCCAGCTGTGATGTGGCTCTGAGCTGCTGCTGTGTCCCGATGGTCCAGTACGTGGGCTGGTCCAGCACGTGGGGAGCCCGTTGCATACATACCCCCTTCCCTGTACCCTGGAGAGAGCAGAACAAGCCTTCAGGGATGCTAAAAGGCCATCTCATATATTTTGAGCTTGTTACTAGGAGGGTCCAGTCCCTGGGAAAGGACATCTTGCTTGGAAGATGGAGGGTCAGTGAAAGAGGAGGACCTTTGGCAAGGAGGGTTGACACAGTGGTTTCAATGATAGGATCTCACACAGGAGAGGACAGGACAGGACAGGGCTTTGTTCTGTGGTGCATGGGTCACTAATGGTTGAGCTAACCGGACCTCATAACAACCTATAACTTTCATTTTATCTTACTCCGATTGAGTTCTAACCCTCACGTATTTCTCAGATGTGTTTCTGCTCTTGGAAGAAGACATAGTTGCATAGTTGAGAGTTATCTGCCCCACGCCGTTGTAACATGGCCAGGAAGCTTATCTTTCTGTCTTTTCGTTCCCACACCGAGCAGAGACTTTCTTTTTATTCCCTGACAGATGTGCCCTGTGAGAGATCAAACACTAAATAATGCAAATCCTGCTCTCTCAAGAAAACATCTCAAACGTGGCAAGCATGCTTGCTTTTCAACCTGAGCCGTAGACCTACAAAAATCTTACACGAAATAGCCTGTTTCCTCTTCTCTGGCTGCTGGGACACAGTTGGGCATGGACACAGCCGTGCCCATCAGTGTTGGGTCAGTAATAATGTTTTCAAATGTCAGCAGCCACATAACCACACAGACTGTGTTGGCTTTTTTTTTCTTCCTATCAATTATATTCTCCATTATGGCAGAGACTAGGTGGCCGAGCCACACGGCAGCACCAGTCTTTTTAATCATTCTTTCCCCTGGTGGTGCGAGGACGTCTGCGGATTCATTGCTTTGTAGATTAATGAGCTGCAGTTCCTCATTTCCTTCCTCGCCCCCTCGCTCGTCCCTGTGTTTTGTGGGTGATTTCCTCCTCGTTAACGGCTTGCTGACGGGCACTGGTTCATGGAGACAGCAAGGCTCCGTGAATCCCCAGCACACAGTGTTGTTTGTATGCATTTTAACTGCGACATGAGGGGCCTTTGTTCCCCAGATGCCACCTTGCCACCCTTCCTCCCTCCCTCATAGTGAAGCTGAGAGTATCAGGCACCAGAGCCAATAGCATGTGGGTCCCCACACTCAATGCTGGAGTTTGGGACAAGGAAAAATGTCCACTGGTGCTGGCAAACAAGGGAACGCCGTCTCCGGCCACAGGAAGGCTTGGTAGGCACTGTCTGGGTCACACCATGGCTCGGGCACATGCTCACAGCGTGGACTGGAAGGCCAGACATCACAGCGCAGCTGGCTTGGCCCGAGTCTCTCCTTTGTTCTCCTGGTTTCTCTTTGTATTAGCCATGAGCACTATGGGCGAGATGTCAGGTGCCCTGGGGGCAGAGAGGGTTATGTGTGGGTCATGATCCAAAAGGTCTGTGGTTCAAATCCACCAGCTATTCTGAGGGAGAACGAGGAGTCTTCGACTTGCTAAGATTCATAGGTTTGGAAACCTGAGGGGGCATTGCTGTGAGTTTGACTCAATGACAGAGGGGTTTGTGTTTTGGTTTTATTTGTAAGTACAGGAGCCCCAGTGGTACAGTGGGTAAAGGGCATGGTTGTTAACCAAAAAGTTGACAGTTCAAACCCACCAGCCACTCATTAGTACTAAGATGTTGAGTTGGGACTCATGCATCAGCAATAGGGTTTTTAAATAAGAATATGGATGGTCAGTTGTCCAAGGTGCTACTGTTGTCCCCCCAACCACCACCCCACCCTCACCCTCTCACCCCGGGCTGGAGCAAAGAAGAGAGGAGAAAATCCAAGGTGCATAAAAACAACTGTTCCTTGGCTACTTCCACACTTCTGAGTCCAGAGGAAACTGCGTAGTACCACTGCTGACCGCTCTGAAAGGAATCACAGTGCTGAATCGTAGCTATAGTATAAGATAAATGTAGAACAAAATTCCAGATCACAATAATAGCCTCGTGGAACCCCCAAGACAGTAGCCATGAGCTACCCTGTGAGCCTGGAACTGGACTCGCTGCTGGGGGACAGCTTACAGTCGAACGATAGACAGATCCAGAAGGTGGACAGTACTGCTGCAGTCAGACCTTAGAGCACTGAAACACAGAGGGACACGAGGGCAGCGTCTGTCCAGGGATGAAATGTGACAGGAGGAAGCGAGAGGCTGGAGGGATGAGTGAGCCGAGAACCACACAGAGACAGGAGCAAGGTGACGCCGTAATGTGGGGACTGTGATCAACACCATGGAACAGCACATGGATGAGAAGCTGAAGAACAATCTGCTCTATAAACTTCAACTCAAATCTTAAAAATGAACAAACCCACCACAACAAAAAAGACAAAATAAAGACTTGCGGGGCAAATCTAGGCTCAAACTCTGGTCAGCCGCTTCTAGATAAGTGACAGGAGCTATGATTCTTTCCATTCTCATCATTCACTATGTCAGTCGGAGAACGTGAGATGCTTGCCTGCCTCTGCACCCTGGATGCTGGGTCCCACAGAGTCCGGGAAAGGCGCAGGCTTGTGTTGGCCGTAGTAAGTGTCATTGTCACTGTCTGGTCATTGTTAGCTCCTGTCCTGTCCACCCCCACTATGCACAACAGAACAAAAGCAGTATCGGTTCCATGGCCAGTTGAACATCAGCCAATATTCTGTTACAGGAAGCTGTTTTTATGAATGATAATAGAAATTGTTACAGAGCTGTAACTGATGTCAGCATAACTGTAGGGAAGAATTTAAAGACTTAAAATTGATGCAATTATTTGAATTAATAATTAATCAATTAATTGTTTGAAAGTTCATATGATTTTTTTAAATTCTTTTTTTTAAAGTTCGTATGATTTTTAAAGCTTCTTCTCTGAGAGGCACTGGCTTCCAAAAGTAGGTGTACAAGACGTCCTTGCTGGTGTGCATCTCCCCATAACCTGTGCTGTTGGCCCGTCTTGGTCAAGCAGAGCCCCCCACATCTGCTGTGACATGAATAGAACAGTGCCCATGTGGTCACTCTGTTCAGAGGTGGCCTCTGAATGGCATTGTCTGGTGGTGTTGCCCCCTCCAGTGACGGTGAGGTTTAAACTGTCGTCCGGTTGACTTGGCAGGTCTGAACGACTTCAGCTACCTTCACACAAACTGCTTCGAGCTGTCCATTTACGTGGGCTGTGACAAGTACCCGCACGAGAGTGAGCTGCCGGAGGAGTGGGAGAACAACCGGGAGTCGCTCATCGTGTTCATGGAGCAGGTGCTGCCGGGGGGCGGGGTGGCCGGGAGTCAGGCAGAGGGTCTGTCCTTCGGTCAGCGTCCTGGCTCATCCTTGGTGTTGAAAGGACCACTCTCTGTTCCGTTGCAGTTAGAGCCTCCATTGGCACTGAGGAGGTGAGCTCGGAGCAACATTGACATTCCTGCTGGCTCGTGGCAGGTGAAATCAGCCCAGGGCATCTCGGGGGCTGCCCTGCAGGGTCAGAGTGACAGCCGCCCCACTCAGTACCTATGGGAAACAGAACAAACCCACCAGGCCACGCCAGGCTGCCTGAGCCCCCAGCTCTGGGCACTGGGCGAGTTGCCTGAGAGCACGCCAGGCCCCTCCAGACTGTCCAGGTCCTTCTAGACTGTTCAGGTCATGGCTCTGGGCACAGGGCGAGTTAGCTGGGAGCACACCAGGCCCCTCCAGACGGTCCAGGTCCTTCCAGACTGTCCAGGTCATGGCTCTGGGCACAGGGTGAGCTACCTGGGAGCATGCCAGGCCCCTCCAGGCTACCCAGGTCCCAGCTCTGGGCACAGGGCGAGTTACCTGGGAGCATGCCAGGCCCCTCCAGACTGCCCAGGTCATGTCTCTGGGCACCGGGCGCGTTACCTGGGAACAATTTTAACAGTGTGTGCTGAGTTACTGTGTAGGACTCGAGGTGCTCTCAGTTTCCATGCAGAATCTCACTGGTTTTCCCTCCTCAGCACTTAGGCCACAGCCACAATCCATGATGACAACACTCTGTGTAGTGCTGGTGCAGTAGTTGAAGTGCTAGGCTGCGAACTGAGAAGTCAGTGGTTCGCACCCACCCACGGGCAGCTGTCTCTGGGCGGCTGTAGTGTCCGCTCCCATAAGGATCGCTGCCCTGGGGGCCCTGCCAGGCAGTCCTGCTCCCTTCTGAGAGTTGTCGTGAGTCGGAATCAGCTCAGCCACAATGGGTTTGATGCTCTGGTTTTGTTTCATAAGAGGATTTGGTGGTACAGTGGTTAAAGTGCTCAGACACTACCTGAGAAGTTAGCGGGTTGAGCTACCAGATCCTTCACAGGAGAAAGAAAGATGAGGCCGTCTGCTTCCGTATTTACATCCCCGGACACCTCACGGAGAAGTTCTCCACCACACTGGGGGGCTGCTGAGGGTTCAGGTCCACTCGGGAGCAATGCCCTTGATTCAGTTTGGAATGCAGCTAAAACAGGATTCCTTCTGTGCTTAGTGGATGGGGTTTTGTTAACCATCTTAGACGGTCACATTTAAAAAAAAACTCTGGAGGCTTTCTTTAACTCCAGTGTAAAGGCCCCAAAGAAAAGCCGAAGTTAACACACCAAATCTGTAGGAGTCAGCCCAGCCCTTGGGCTCCACGTGGCGCTGTGAGCACTCTCGGTGGGGACTGAGGTGACAAGGGGCTCAGAGAGGATTTGTCACACTGGCCACCTCCGGGGCTGCCTGGTAAACAACTCATCTGTTTCTCCCCACTCTCTTGGGCAGGTGCATCGTGGAATCAAGGGCATAGTGAGAGACTTGCACGGGAAGGGTATCCCCAACGCCATCATCTCCGTAGAGGGAATTAACCATGACATCCGAACAGGTAACCACAGGTGCCTGTGCCCAGTACAGAGCAGGTGTGCTCCGGAAGTGGGTACTTGGGCTCAACTCACCGGCCGAGTGCCAGCAATGTATTAGGCAGAGCTGGCTGGCTGTCCTCCCCCTAATCTCACAGAGGCTCTGAAAGGATAGCTTTTCACCCTGTACCTTCTGGCTCCTCCCACCGCTCTCCTGGCTGGACCTGGAGCAGCTGACTGGGTCTGAGTGAAGCAGAATCCTCCAGAAACTGCAGCGGCAGCTCCGTCCGTCTCTGTGGAGTGGTCACAGTGCAGGCTGCTTTATTCCCCAGATGGGACAGGTTATGGCCGGAGTGCATCTGTCCGGGTGACCACGGCAGGTTTCCCCAGAAAGGAGAGGTGGTAGGTTAGGGTGATGCAGGCAGTGTTGGTGGGTCACAGAGGAGGCAGTGTGCAGGGGGGCTGGGGGGAGGCTTGAGGGGTCAATTAAAAGCGTAGAGTGAAGCTTCCTGAGTTTAGTTCAAGAAGCACGCAGGCCACAGGAAATCATCGCAAATGTTTTAGGATGACACTTGTCTACATTATGCAGAGTAGGATAATAACAGCAGTAGGAATCAACTCTGGTCTTGATGGGTCCTGGTGATTGAAAGATTGGAGGCTCAAATCCACCATCGAGTCCCCCCAAAATTTACAGTCCCAGAAACCCAAAGGAGAGTTGCTATGATTGGCACTGGACTTGATCACAATGGGGTTGACTTTATATACAAGGCACTCTTTTACTAGATTCCTATATAAAAAGTCAGGCCTATCAACAGCTCTGTTTCTTTAAGCTCTTGTTACCTCAGGAGCCCCTGGGTAGAACAAGGTGCTATCCAAAAGGTTGGCAGTTCAAGTCCATCCAGAGGGGTCTCAGAAGAAAGACCTAGTGAGCGACTGCTGAACAATCAATCATTGACAGCTCAGTGGGGCTCAGTTCTACTCAGACAGGCAGGAGGTTTCAAGAGTTGAGATTGACTCGGTGGCAACTGGCATCAGTAGCCACATTTTAAGAGGTAATGAACCAAGGAGACTCAGCTCCCTTCCACTTTAGTGGGTCCTGACTGCCAGTAGAGTCCAGCCCTGGGCTCCTTCCTCCAACCCATACTCTCTCTCATGAGGAAGGAGGACACTCTCCTCTACTGAGTGCTCACAGGTGTTGACACCTCCAGACCCCCAACAAGACTGCACGGGCAGCCTCACAGAAATTATCTTCTTCACTTAAAGCTTTGATCCCTTTTAACCCTCAGTCTCCATGTCTTCAAAGCAGAGGGTCTGGCACCTAAGATGGGGCCAGATTGCTTCCCTGTGTCTGGAAAGTTCATTGTAATATAAGCAGATGGAACGAGGCTGAAATGCTGCTGACTGCTTTAATCCCTTAATCCCATTCTTCCCGTTCAGTCATCCACTGCTTGACACAGTTCCAACCATTTCCCAACGTTCCTATCTCTAGTTCTTGAGGCTCCCGTGGACAGAAACAACGAGATCGCATACTGTAAAATGATGTTCCAAGAGCCCTCATGAGGCAGCTCTCCATCCATTTACTCATCTCTACATCCATCCTCCCTTCCTCGCTTCATCCATCCCTCCATACATTGTCCATCCATCCGTCCCTCCATCCCTCCATACATTGTTCATCCCTCCCTCCCTCCCTTCATCCATCCCTCCATACATTGTCCATCCATCCATGCATCCCCTCATCTCTCCATACATTGTCCATCCCTCCCTCCCTCCCTCCCTTCATTCATCCATCCATCCATCCCTCCATACATTGTTCATCCACCCATCCATCCATCCATCCATACATACATACATACATACATACATTGTCCATCCCTCCCTCCCTCCCTTAATCCATCCCTCCATGCATTGTTCATCCCTCCCTCCCTCCATCCATCCCTTAATACATCCCTCCATGCATTATTCATCCATCCATCCATCCACCCATAATTCTATTCATTTCATCATTCATTTACCCATTAATTCAACAAAGCAGATTGCACAGCTACGAGGACCATGACTGTGCCAGATGTTGGCTGTATTTATGAATGGTCAGCAGACTCTCTGGCCCAGCACTTCATAGGACTGATATCCTTGACATTGCTTATGAATGGCTTTAAATTAAAGGAGCCAGGAACATTCCTTGTGCTATTTTGTACCTTATTTGCAATGTAAGAAAGCACAGTGTTTTCAAACAGAAAGGAAGATAAAAAGGCCCTGGGGCCCCATAAGTGGCGATGAGAATACTCTGCCTAATGGGCCTGCTTCTCAAGCCTCTGGAATCAGGGAGACTGGCTGTTCTGATGAGCTAATGGCAAATGCGTTTCTCCCCATTGAGCTTTCCCCTGTAATCTCCTAGTGTGTTCTCACGACAAGTGAATCCGTCCTTTGAGCAGTTTTAATTTTATACGTTCCAGTGTCATCCAGCACTCAGCTGTTGGGATAAATTGGTGCAGTCCCAGACCAGAGTGTCCAAGTAGAGGGCACCTTGCCAGTCCAAGAGATCCATTGTCCAGAAATGGAAGCTTCTAGATTGCAAAGAGAAATGAGAATCATTCCTTGAGTGGTATGCACACGTAAGCCACTAGCTACTAAGACAAGAATTGGTGGTGGTGCCATGTACCATCAAGTTAGAACCATAGCTGACTCTCCAGCAGGTTTCAAAGACTGTAATTTGCATGAAAGGTGGTGGGTCACTGTTCTTCCATGAAGCAGCTGGTGGATTCGAACTGTGTGCCTTTGGGTTGGCAGCACACAACTTCTACCACTAAGCCATGTGAAGAAATCGTACTAAATGGGAAGTCCTGGATAAAGGGAGAAAAATGTGGAACAAAACTCGAAATCTTGAAAAAGGCCAGGCTTACTGGTGCGATAGAGACTGATGGAGCCTCAGACTGTGGCCCTTCCTCACTTTCGAGCCTGAGACATAAATCACTCCCAGGACTCAACTTTGAGCCCAAAGATAGGTCTGTAAGGTGATCAGTAACACTGGGAAGGAACACGTACCTTAGAACCATCGACTACGTGACATGGACAGGCCGTATTTGCTCAGGGGTGAAGCTCAGATCAGGAAGCAGGAAGAGATAGGAAGGAAGGATGGATGGAAGTGGGAAACACAGGGAGGGACTGAGGAGAGTACTGTTACAGTGTAGGAATTGCAGACAAGGCCAAGAAACAAAGTATGTATGAATTACTGACGGGCAAACCAATCTGTCTATCAGCCATCATCCAGATCATATTAAAGAGTTAAAAAGCAAAAGCAGTGGAGGCAGGTTCGGCCCCAGCATAGGTGTTTGCCAGGTGAGTTGCAGGCTTGCTGTGTGCACAGTTCTAGCGTCTTACAGTTTCTAGATGGGCACTGCTTCTCAAGCCTCTGGAATCAGGGAGATACGGCCTTGCGGTGTCCCAGTTCTAACCTCTTACAGTTCCAGTCTCTCTGTGTGGGGATGTGGAACGAGGTGTGGGGATACCAGGGCCTCCTCCCAAGCTCAGAACTCCTGTGCAGTTGAGAGCTGCACGCTCTTAAATCAACAACTCTGTATTTACAGCGTGGGTGAGGAAGCCCGCAGGCCAGCCAGCAGTGACTTTTCGGGATGTGGGCAGGGCATCTTGCTTGCAAGTTCAAGTTTCAGAATCAGTGATTTGTCTTGTCATCAAGGGAGGAGATGGAGAAACCATTTCTGTTCCTGCTCACGTGTGTTGACAAGGCTGGGAGCCTGCACCCTAGTCTTCCTGTGAAAGCCCTCACGGCAGCCCCCAGCAGGGAAAGCACTTGGGTGGCTGCCCAGTGTTCAGGACTCACGTCCTCAGGAGCTCAGCTGGAGGCTGGTCCGGAACAGGCTGCTGGTGACGGTGTGAGGAGAAGGCCGTCTCACCCCACCCTGCCTCTCTTTTCACAGCCAGCGATGGGGATTACTGGCGCCTCCTGAACCCCGGCGAGTATGTGGTCACAGCCCGGGCCGAAGGCTTCACGGCGTCCATCAAGAACTGCATGGTGGGCTATGACATGGGGGCCACGCGCTGCGACTTCACACTCAGCAAGACCAACCTGGCCCGGATTCGCGAGATCATGGAGAAGTTTGGCAAACAGCCCGTCAGCCTGCCCGCCAGACGGCTGAAGCTACGAGGACGCAAGAGGCGGCAGCGCGGGTGAGGTGCCCACCCATCCAGGGCACACCCGGCCTCCAGATCCTAGCCAGCCCCGGGGGGCACCCTGGGCTGACTCCACAGTGCACCTTCGATTTCTCTGGAATCCAAGAAGCACCTGGGAGAAGGGGTGCCTGCCAGACTGGCCCCGGGTGGGCCTGGAGGCTGCGACTGTTTTCATTTCTTTGTTCCATTTATCGACTTAGTTCGGGCAGAGCGTCAGAAAGGCAGAGGGAATGGGAGAGTTCAGCAGCAACCCCCACCCCACCGACCCCCGTCACAGGAGAGAGCCGTGGACTAGCTCTTTGGGGGCCCTGAACAAGGAGGGAAAGCTGGGTCCCCTCCCTGAGTGACTGCCAGGGATCCACGTGCACAGTGGGAATGGCAGCGTCCCGGGTCCTGTGGCCCAGCTGTCATTGTTCAGGATGACCACAGGCATTGAAAGCACGTGGCCCACCTGGCCCGGGGGACATCGTGCCCAGACGCCCTGCTCTACATCACCCACAGGCAGCACACGAGCAAGGGCTGAGGGGACACCGTCCTGAGCCAGGTCAGCTTTCCTTCTCACAGGAGGCAGCGTTTGTCCAAGAGGAAGGAGCAGCCTGATGGGGGGGGGTCCCACCTGGGCCCCTCCCCGGGCTCCCTGCACCCGGTGAGCCATGGCCACCAGCCTTCCTATGTGGCCTGATCATGCAGTCTGGTCCTCTCTTTGGCTGCTTGTGCTTGAAGAGCTAGCCGGGAGGGGCTGACCCGCCCTGCTCCATTGTTCAAGGAAGATCTCCCTCGTCCTTGGGCGTGTACATCCACACACAGCCAACAGCAGCGTGAGCGAGGAGGTCGTGGGTGTGATTGCAGGCCCTTCTCAGTTCAGCGCTAACTGACGAGAAGCTCTAAGGGGTGACTGGGAGCAGCAGGCGGCCGGGGCTCTTGAATTGAGTGCAAGTAGCCAGTTGTGTCTCCCTTTGCAATGATGGTGCTGCCTGGTCAAGCGGGAAGAATGCAAAATAAAACGAACGGTAAAGCCTCTTGCTGTGCGGTTTTTGTCGTTTTTGTGGACTTGAAGCCACACTGGTGCCAGCTGCAGCCTCCCGGAGATTTCTTCTCCTAGGTGGCTCCCTGCGTGGAGACCCCAAGCTGGGGCTTGTCTTCTGTGGCGCTGTCCAGGAGGAATGGCCACCCTGGCGCTGCGGCCCACAGCCGGCTCGTGGAAGGACCCGTGAGCGTCGCTAGGGAGCGGGTCCTCCTGAGACTCTGGCAGCCCCACAGGGACGTGGTAGCAGTTTTGCACACAAGCTGGAGAGTACATGTTTGATGCTCGGCATTGTCCTGTTGTCGTTTAACTCTGTCATCACCAACACAGACGTCACTGAAGCCAAGCCCCTGAGCCAGCCCTGACTCACGGTGACCCCGTGTGCAGAACTGTGCCCCCGAGGGGTTTTCAGTGGAGAATGTTTTGGATAAGGGATCTCCAGCCCTTTATTCTAAGGTACCAGTGTGCTGACGTGGGCTTCTAACCTTTTGGTTAGCGGCCACGCGTTAACTGTCCGCACAACCCACAGCTCACTGCTGTCAAGGCCACTCTGATTTACAGTGACCAGCCATCAGTTTCCCCAGCTTCAAACCTTTACAGGAGGAAACTGCCCCTCTTCCACATTTGGAGCAGCTAGTGGATTTGAACCCTCAACCTTTCCTTTAAAAGCCCAACATGTAACCCAGTTAGAAAACTCACAAGCTCTTTTGTGGGAAAAAGATGCTGTGGTGTGCTTACACGGGTGACAGACTGGGACACTGTGGAATGGCACTTCTTTATGTCCCGCAGGATCACAATGAGAGTCAAGTTGAAGGCAGTGAGTTTGTTGTTTTGAAGGTTGGGTTTGTTTTTACATAAACACAAACATGCACCTGCATATACAAGCAAGTGTGGATTCTGGGTACCCACCATAACACCTGGGTCATTTGGGGGTGACTTAGTTTGATACAGTCTCTCCAAACCCTTATTGATACCACTGGGCAGAAATATTAATTGAATAGATGCATAAGATAAGGCCAGAAAAAATCAGGGCGGGTCAAATGACTCCATGCTGGACTAGGTGTTCAGATGATGCCAGGGCTGCAGACAGACACACAGATGGCTCAGTCAGGGTGGTCTTTGCCCTTCTAAGAATTTCAGATCTACATCTGCAAACTCTGAGCATTGCCGCTGCTGAGAATAACGTGGCCATCCCCTTGCGTGGCTAGTTACGCAAATCTAAAAATATGCACATTAAAAACTGTCTTCTAATAAATGAAGTGGAAAAAATGTTTTGTTCTTAAGAAGAGAGCACACATAAGCTTTTAGAAACATCAAGAAACTACCAGACAGCCCTTTACAATTAAATTCAGATCTAAATTTGGCAAAGCTAGTACTTTTGTGAACACTTCCTCAGTGCTGTGCCCGGGGCAGAGGCGAGATTGAGGAAAACAAGTGCAAGTGACCCATCTCACAGGTGTGGACGTGAGGTCCGGGGGTGGTCAACACTCACTCAAGCGCTTTTCAGTCTAACAAGGAGCAAACATTTTGAGAGATTGGAGTTCATGAACAAGAAAGATCTAGGAAAGATTTGCAAGATGCGGGTTTGGAGCAGGAGAATGTTCACAGCGGGTCCGTTTTCTAGCAATGTGCTTTGGGTTTACTGAAAGTGAAATCTAAAATGAGAACTTGAGCCCAGGTTGTTTATTTGGGAAACAGGAGGGATAGGCAGGGAGAGTGAGAGAGAGCGAAGGAGGAGAGGCCAAATGAGCTCAGCATGATGGGATCCTTGAGGAGGATAGAGAAGACCTCCAGCAGCGTCCATGGGAAAGGTGGAGCTTGGAGCTTTGATCCACTCACCCCTCTCCCCATTGGTTATGGCTCATCCCGGCTGTGCCAACTCTGAATGTTGGGGTCCACTTAGGAGAGGGCACAGCAGACTCCTGGGTGCCATAGAGGGGCCTGAGGTTGAAAAGCAGGGCTTCCAGAGAATTGGAAACAGCGCAGCCAGCTGAGGAGATTGCTGCTGTTGTTATGTGCCGTTGAGTCACCTGCAACTCATAGCGACCCTCTTTGTACAACATCTCTGAAACCGCCCTATCCTGAGCCAGTCTCACTGACCCCGACACACCTGCCCTCATTACCTCAGTTACTGTATCAATCCATCTCATCCGGGGTCTTCCTCTCCTGCATGGTCCCGCCACCCTTCCAAGTGTGATGTCCTTCTCTGAAGTTTGGTCCCTCCTGGCCAGGTACCCAAAGTATGTGAGACGGAGCTTCCAAATCCTAGCCTCCAAGGCGTAATTTGGTTTCACCTTCTCCAAGACAGACTAATTTGTTTTCTTGGTGGTTCATGGTATGTTTCAGACTCTTCTCCAGCACCAGAACTCAAAGGCATTGATTCTTCTTCTGTCATCCTTTGTCATCATCCAGCTCTCTGATGCATAGCAAGTAATTGCGAAGACTATGGCCTGGATCAGGTGCACCTTAGTGTCTAGACTTACATCGTTGTTCTCAGTATTCTGGAGAGGAACCTGGCAGCAGATTTACCTAATGCAATTTGCTGTGTTGATTGGGGAGCTGAGCAAGCTGAATTTGTTAAAAACTTTAATCTCATCCCCATCTATCATGATGCTGCCAGTTGACCCAAAGGTGAGAATCTTTTCGTCTTAATGTTAAGCTTCTATCCACAGTTCTTGGCCTTCTGCAGCAAGCACTTTAGGTTCTCCTCAGTTTCAGCAAGCAAGCTTGTGTCACCCGCATAACATAAGTTACTGGTGAGTCTTCCTCCAATCCTGATGCCACATTCCTCCTCATAAAGCCCAGCCTTCCGAATGATCTATTCTGCCTATAGATTGAAAAGATACAAAAGTAAGACACATCTCTGATGCACTCTTGTCCTGATTTTGAATTATGAAATATTACCTTGCTCTGTTCTGAGGATTACTTCTGTTCTGAGTATAGGTTTCGCCTGAGTAGAATCAAGTATTCTGGGATTCCCGTTTTCCTCAAGGTCAGCCATAATTTGTTGTGATCCACACAGTCAAATGCCTTTGCATAGTCAATGAAACAGAGATAGACATTCCTCTCGTACTCTCTGATTTTTGCCAAGATCCATCTGACATTGGCGATAATGTCTCTAGTGCCATGACCTCTTCTAAACCCAGTCTGTTCTTCTGGCAGTTCTCTGTCGATGTACTGTTCCAGCCATTTTTTTCGTAATTTTTGACAGGATTTTTGCTTGTGTGTGATATGAGTGATATTGTATGATAATTTCCACACTCTTTTGGGTCACCTTTTTTTGGTATGGGAATAAATATGGATCTCTTCTAGTCAGTTGGCCAGTAGTTGTCCTCCAGATTTTTTTGCACAACCTGGTGAGTACGTCCAGGGCAGTATCTGTTTGTTGAAATATGTCAGTAGGTATCCCATCAGTTTCTGGGGCCTTAATTTTTTTTTTGCCAAGTCCTTCAGAGCAGCCTGCAGTTCCTCCTTCATCACCATTGCCTCTTGATCATATGCTGTTTCATGAAATTCTTCTGTGTCAACCAGTTCTTTTTGTACAGTGACTCTGTGTATTCCTTCCATCTTCTTTTAGAACTTCCTGGATCATTCACTGTTCTGCCAGTAGCTTCCTTAAATATGGCAACTTGAGGCTTGAATTCATTCTTCAGTTCCTTCAGCTTAAGAAATGCCAAGCAAGTTTGGCCATTTTGATTTTCCAACTCCAGCTCCTTGCACATTTCATTATAATACTTTCCTTTGTTTTCTTGAGCTGTCCTTTGAAATCTTCTATTCAGCTTCTTAACTCCTTGATTACTTCCCTTTGCTTTGGCTTCTTGGCACTCAAGTGAATTATTCAGAGTCTTTTCTGACATCCATCTCGGTCTTTGCTTCTTCTTGTCTTTGTAATGACCTTTTGCATTCTTCATGGATGATATCCTCCCACAGCTCATCTGGTCTTTGTTCATTAGTATTCAAGTCCTCAAACCTGTTTG